ATAGGCCAACACGGCAGGTCCGGAGGGCACGCTGTCACTGGAACCTCCGTGAGAGCAGGATGGGCAGCGTGCAAGGGACCAGGGGCTGAAGGTTGCAGGTGTGGGCGTGAGGCCGACACTGCGCGGCTCCCAACCTGGAAACTTGCCTTCATGAGCTCATCCTTGGTGTCAGCTCACTTCATGGTCACTTATCCTGCCTCATGAGGGTGAAACAAAGTATGGTTAGATAGTGTACAGGAAGCACGGCTTGAGCAACGTCCTGACACTGCTTTCCTGCAGAAATCTGAGAAAGAGTCGAAGCCCTCAGAGTCTTCAGAAAACCGTCATCCTTACTACTGCTGACATAATCTTGTGAGGTGTCCGCACACACCACAGACTGAGCTCGGTGTTAGCGTGGGTGTGCGGTTGCAGTCCTGGGCCTCACAACTGCATTGCTGCACTGCACTCAGCCTGCAGACTCATTGATACGGGGTGCACCAACCACTGCTTGGCTTTTAGGACAAATCCTTAGGTTTAATGAAAGTCTTTTGACCACTTTATTAAACCTTTTTCTGTCACAGACTTCTTTTAATAGTAGTGTCCGGTCTTATTTAATTGGTCTGTTCCAGCCTCTCACAATTTGATGTTCCCTTTCCCAGCCTCCTGTGCACTCCCTGGCGGACTTCAGCTTTCATTTCACTCATCTCCTCTCCTCACACTGTCCTCGGAGTAATTGAGACCTACAGCCTTTTGCTCATCCCCTTACCTCCTCATCGGCACCCTGCTGGCAGGCCTCATGGTCCATCACTTTAATTCTCTTTCTCTCTTGTTCTTCTGTCCTCATCTCCTTGTGTCCCTCCCACCTAGCAGAGCCTCTCCCAGCCTCTGGAGTCTCCTGAGCTAAACAGTTACTGCTACCCACAAAGCCTGAAAGTGTCCCTTCAGAGTGTGCAGAGTGTTTCCATAACAAATGTTTCAAATTGTCTCAACTTTTTTTTTGGGGGGGGGGACAGAGTCTTACTCTGTTGCCCAGGCTGGAGTGCTGTGGCATCAGCCAACCTCAAACTTCTAGGTTCAAGTGATCCTCCTGCCTTGGCCTCCCAGAGTGCTGGATCACAGGTGTGAGCCACTGTGCCCAACCTCTCAACTTTTCCTAATCTACTTGTTTGTGTATATTACATGGCTGGTGATTGTTGACTGATTCTGAATCTTAGTATAAAGCAAACTTAAAAGCAATGTATTGAAATGTGTGCATTTTTAGGAGGTTTTAGAGTTTGACTTAGAAAACACTGTTGAAATAGAAGAAATTTATCTGGGCTAAGGTTATGTGGGTTCTTTTATGAAAAACATGAATAATAAAGTGACGAGGCCTCCAAACTGCTTCAGACTCAACATGTCCCATGTAAGGTGCACACATAACTTTCTCCTCCTAGAGGCACATTCCCTCTCTTCTGCTTTCCACAGGTTAACAATCAGCATTTATTTTCAGAATTTCCTTACACATTTTCCCTTGAAAACGTAATAGAAATTATACAAAAGAGAGGAAACTGTTTGAGTCAGGGTTCTTGGTTGCAAGCAGTTGACTCTGGCTGTGTTTGGCAGAAAGAAACATTAAAGGAAGTTGGGGGAAACTCTGCTATTCAATAATGACATAATCCAATTTAAGAAATGGGCAAAGGATCTAAAATGTTTCTCTAAGGAATCTGTACAAATGGCTCGTATGAGAGAAGACGGTGCTCAGCGTCATTAGCCATCAGAAAAATGCAAATGAAAATCTTAATGAGATGCCAGTTCATACCCACTAGGATGGCTAGAATTAAAAAGCCAGATGACGGGTGCTCACTAGGAGACATCAGATCCTCATACGCTGCTGCTGGGAAACAAACAAATTAAAAACTCCCCTATTCTGTGGTATGCAATTTACATTAGGACTATAGTGTAAATTGCTATAGATTTACTCTGATTTCTGAGCAAGTTCATTTGATGCTAAAACGTCTAAGATGGTAGATTTGAGTTCCATTAATTTGTATGATAGTTACCTGTGCTTCTGTAACTTCACTCAGCAGTCTTATAAACTATTCCTCTGATACCAAGGAAAATCAGGTAAAAAAAAGTATATGGATTACTCATTGCAAAACCTTCCTGACCTTGCCGGGAAGATGGGGAGAAGAAATTCAGATTATAGACCTTGCTGATGTGGGATTAAAATGTAAACGTACCCATGTTTAATAATCTAAAGTGGATACATTTTATCTCTGAAGTCAGTAATTTGGCATTACTCTTCAATTTTTAAAACCTTATGAAATATTTGAAAAGACAGTTAACATAGTTCATGATACCAAAGATTAATGTCAATAGTTCAAAAACTTTACAGAGTTTTTGAGTATAACAACCTGTGTTAAAAATCACTGTAGATTAATAAATCTTGAGTTTTCTTCCTGAGGATTCATTTATAGTGGGACTTTCTTTTGCTTAGTTTCAGGTACTATTTCTGGTAGGAACACCATAATATTTTTTTATTTCCATATTAAAATGTTTTATCAATGTTTAGGTTACATTGTTTCATTTCTAAGGTAAAGTTCAAGTTGTAGTTGAGCCCTTCCTCCTGCTGAACACCCTCACAATGTGCAGGTTAGGTGAGAATTTGCAGTCGCCCTGCTTCCTGCCCTTTCCCGCTCTGCCTCCTCTCCCGTCCCCCTCACTTGAATATCCTTGTGTTTTCTTTGGTGTGGACTGTAGTTGTTTATATGTTGGTTTCATATTTGTGTTGAGTATGCAGTGTCTTTTCACTAGAACAGCTCAGGAAGCGTGTGATGTTGATTGGTTGTCACCTTCCTGGTGCTGTCATCTTTGGTCACATGGCCAAGATTTTGTCTACTTGTTCTGGCCACTGTAAAGTTGCCATTTTTCCCTTTGTGATTTATTTATAGGGAGCTACATTGAGACTATGTACATATTCTGTTACTATAAAACTTTTGCCTGCTAGTTTTGGTCTTCATTGATTATTAAGATAGTTGCCCAGAGGTGATTCCTATTTGCACCATTTCTTCTGCAGTTATTAGTTAACTTCCTATGGAACGGCAAATGTGTTCCTTCTCCTCTGTTCATGTCACTGTGGATTCATGGATTCTTACTATGATTATTTTGATACTCAAGTTGTCTCCATCTTGGCCATTGGGTGCCCCTCTTAGCTGGTTCCCGTGTCCTTCTGTCATGTCCCCAGCATCCTTTGAGTTTTTCTTTACCTTCTGGGACAAGATGTTTCAGACTAATTTTGTGCTTGAGCTACTCCAGCCCTGGAATCAGCCGTTTCTCCAAAGATACTAATTTGTGTTTTAAGTAGAAGGAATCTTATATCTTATACTGACTTTCCAAGATAATATTAACAGATAAAACATAGCCTTTCCTTAAAAACATTAGAAATATGTGTACTTTAATTGTTCTCTCATTCACTGTGTTTCCTTTTTGTGCTTAGGGCTAGATGTTTCTAATATAAATGAAGTTGAACTCCAGCTCACTTTTCAAAAGCAATGTCAAAATAATTAGTACAAATAAATGCTGTAGATGTGTAGAGATGGGCTAGAAACCTGGGAATTGAAGAGAAATTTGAGAAAGAAGTACAATTTGAGTAAGTAGAAAGGAGCAGAGAGGGTACTCAATTCATGTGCGTGGAAGGAGGAAAGGGGACATGCTGGAAAGAGACACATGTTGGAGGGATTTGAGGAGCCTAATTGTTGGAGAGATAATAATGCTGGTGATTAATGGATGGGTGGGGTCCATTTTATTGGAAGCCTGTCCTCCAGGCTGGCTGATTGAGACTTTATCCCATAGGCAATGAAGAGTCCTTCAGTTTGAGGTGTAATCATAAAGAGTAAATTTTAGGTAATTTGATATGATGTTATTTTGTAGAATAGCCTGCAAAACAGAAGACTAGTTAGATAACTATTAAAATAATTGGGTCTAAGGCAGTAGGAACACAAATCAAAAGAATGAATAGATAGGGAAGGAATTTGGAAGGAGAAAACGACATTAGTGTTTTAAATCTGGATCAGTGGAAGAATGGAAAACTCTGAAAGAAATAGGAAATTGATGATTTTTATAAGAAAAAAAACAGAAATTGTTAATAGACATTCCAGAAAAAATATTTCTAATAATTTCTGTTATAAATAGGTATTTGGTGATAGCTTTAATTTTCATACTTTTAGGTTTATAGTGGAATAGAAAGTTGTTTTGACCTGACACGATCTCGTGTGCTCAACCATGTTACTGATCTCACATTAGATCTCGAAATAATATTCAGATTCCTGACTGATTTAAAATATATGATTCTTGTTGACATTCGGGGGTGAGAAATTTGTTTCTAAGTGTGGCATTTGATTCTTTTAGTGTTTTTGAAGTTCACATTCCCATCTCCATCTTTTAGAAAACTACTATTTTTTAACTTCAGCATTGTTTAAAGAACAGAACCATTACAAACTAAGAACTTTGCTATAAAAGAACTTAAAATCACAAAGTATTGTGACCAAGACATTCTTTGCCAGATGACACATAACATAAAGGTAGATGGTACCTAGATCCTCATATTCCACCTAAAGTGGAAATGAGTTTTCCTGAATAAATGTTAATATGTTGCCATTTAACTGTTACAAGTCAGTATATTTAGGTCTTAATCAGACCATCCTTCTTTGTAGATAGAGCAAAAGAATGATACAGGTTTGTTATCTCTCTAGCTGTCGTCTCTTTAGGTTTTCTGAATTGGCTTGAGTCCCAGCAGTTACATTCTGAAGACTAACCTTTATTCTATCCATATGTCTGTTTATTTCTTTGTTCATAGGTTAGCATATGAACTTAATTAAAATCTATTGAAAGAAATCATTACATGAAGTAATGTACTAGTTACATAATATGTTGGGGCAGTGCTGGGCAGCTGTCATAATTTCTGCTGGTACAGTTTATAAAAAAGAAAATAAAGTTAGTTCTTTTCGTTGGAAAAGAAGATTTCATGTTATCTGTGTTTGCAGGCTTTCTGGCTCATATGCTGGAGGAATCCTTGCTGCGGGGGTGTTTTCGTTTTCCCGTCTAACATGGCAGTGGTCCATCACAGCGGAGGTTTTCAGCTTAAACAATCTGTTTGTGGGGCTGCTTATGGCTCTTACTGTACATTTTGAGGAGGCGGCAACTACAAAGGAGAGATCAAAGGTAACCTATTTTGATCAAAGTGAAATCATTGTTTGTTTAAATTTTTAGACAGATGCTCTATTTCTTTTTAACTTCAGTTTAAATACAGTTTGTCTATGCTGATTACTTTCAAGGTAACCTAGGCATCTTGAGAAAGAAAATGTTCTCAGTTTTTTTAATCTGGATGGAACCTTGCTATCCCTTATAAAAAATGGGACTTCCTTTTGCCCTCAGAGTTCAGAAGTTTTTTGGGGAATAAGGAGATTATGAAATTCCTTCATGTCCTATAGAAAGATAACAATTGTTGTGTGTGCTGTCGTAAGGCGCCAAACTCCAGACTGACCCTGAAATTAGGATATGCTAACTCATTCTCTAATAGCCAAAAAAAGTCAGATTTGTAATTTTTTCTTTTTACTAAAAGAGGAGGATCAAATGTAGCTCAGAAATGAAGTAGTTCAGAAGAGATTACGGTGAATTTTAAGGCAAGCACTATTGTCAGAATAATTTGAAATGTGAAAAACCTCTTCTGAGAGCTTATAGTCCATACAGTTGAAGAAGCTAAAACATCTTAGTGTAGGCAGCCTTGTGTTGCTCATAGAAACAAAAGAACATTGCGGTTTATCTGTGATTCCCATAAATAGATCTGTGATGTTATTAGAGTTTATTTTTTTGCTTAACAATTTATGTTAAAGAAAAAGTTTTTAATATGCTTGTTAAAGGATGGCAAGGCAGGCTTTATTCAGGTTGCGGTATAGGGACCACTGCGGTAGGATTTTGTGCTGGAGTAGAGGTCAGAGTCAACTCCACATGTAAACAAGGGAAAGTAGGAATTTATAGCCAAGGATCCGGGTCAGTAGCTGGGAAATTACTGAGAGGAAGCATCAGGGGTAAAGGGGAGTCCTTGGTGGAGGCAGAGCAGGGAGACCAGATGTCACCTAGGGAGTCATATGGGACAAGCATCCTGATCACACAGCAAGTGTGTTGCTGCGGGGGGTGGGGGGGGGTAGGTGGGGGGGCGGGGCAGGGCCGTGGGTTCTGGCTGAGCTGACTCAGTAGGGTTCTCACTTCAACTGGACCGTGCAGAGATAAACACAGAAGCCTGAAAGTCAGGGCCTCGGTGAGAAGAAGGTTCGGAGGAGCCTGACTAGAGTTTAGTCAAAGAATCTTTGTCAATTAGGAAACTAACATACGTTTAACTAAATCAAAAACACCACCCTGAAACCAGATTTCTAAATAAAAGATGCTGTATTTCATTTACTTGACAGGAGAAAAACTAAAGCAATTACTAAACTTCAGTTACAGATTTTATTTGAATAACAATCATTCAATCCTCTATTATTGTTAGAGCTTATCTGGTCATTCTATAGGACTTTCTGTAAGTCGTTATTTAATGAGAATGGAAATCCATATTATTTATATAATTATTAAATATTAATAAATAGTTAATGTTAATGAAAATACTAACAAAAATAATGGTAATAAATACTAATGACTGTTAAAAGTATAATTACTTGTATTTAAAGAGGTTGATTTTAAGCTATGATAAAAAAGCTTAAGCTATGATAAAACCAAGCTATGCCTGGTTTTAATATAAAAAATGGACTTTTGTCTTTGTGCTTACTTAGAGTCTTGGTGAATTTTTAACTTAGATTTTTTTTCTTTTATTTATTTTCAGATAGCTAAAAGCGGTGCTTTCTGCTGTGGCCTTAGTCTGTGTAATCAGCACACAATCATGCTCTACATTTTGTGCTTAATACCTTGGATTCTCTTTCGACTTATAAAAGAGAAGGTAGGTTTGTGAAATTTATAAAAATTAAAATTCATAACATTTTACTTAAACGTTATATAACATTTGCATCATCTGAAAACATGGTGCTTTAATTTTTTTGGGTTTCATAAAGCATAAATAACCTAGGCCCTACCAGTATTGACTGAACAAAACAGGATTTACAAAAGTTATGCAATATTGATTGCAGAGACATCTGGCCTGTTTGTAATTTCGTGATTCTGAACAGCACCTTCCTGCAAATAGGCTGGAAGGACTTACTGCCACAATATCAACTTTCCTTAATTGTTTTATTATCCATTCTAAGAGGCAGAGTACTACACTGATAACACTTCTATTTGTCTCACCCTTTTTGAGTCCTTGCTCTGTGCTGTATGCCTGCTCTAGGTGCTGGAGAATTCTGCGCAACAAAACAGACAACAACCCTGCTGTAAGGAACTAGATGATAAAATCTCTGAGAAACAGCACTCCTAATTTCTCAGAACATATCTCCTTAGAATCAAAAATGACTTATTTTAATTTCTTCTTTCCCTGAAAGGAAAAGTGATTGTAAATTAGAATGGCAATAAAAAGCAACATAGGAAAATTACTTTATTAGGCATTGGGAGATACAGGTACCCAGAGGTTAAAGCAGTCTATATACAAAGCTCATGCTGGATTGATTTTACTTTATTTATTATTTGTTTGTGAACAAACTCAGCTTTATTTGTCATTTTATCATTTGGGAATTATATCCAGCTATAAGCAGAATTGTAATGAAAAATACATAAAGCAAATAAAATTATCATATAGAAATAGGGTTATAATTATAACAAAGCTTTAGATAACTATATTTACTATACTTGTACACATTTTGGTTCTGAGCTTCTTAACAGCAAAGCAAAAAGGGTAATATGGAGATTATAAAATTTTTATTATATGATTAAAAAATAAAAAAGGAAACATAGTAGTTGACAGGAAAGAGCAACTTTTCCTTGGAATTGCATTCATGTAAGTCCTTCTGTAAGAGACGGTGAACAGGCTGAGTTGTTTAGAGTGGTTTATGGAGCATACAGAAGGTTCTTTACAGGGTACTTTATAAACCCTTGACTTAAAAATGGCAGCATGAAATGCAATCAGTGAAACTTTCCTGTGGAATATGACAGTGAAGAGGCCTAAGTATTTTCTTGTGCATCAGTGGGCTCAAAGGTGGGGACAGATGGACAGCATGTCTCACTCTGATAGCCATCACCTTAGCCAGGCTTCTGACCTGAACAAACATCAGTGAGGTGCACTGTTGGAAAGGACCTGAAGAGCACTTATTTCACGTTTGACTGAAAGGAGAGTCCTGTGCTTTCTATGAAGCATGCAGGACTCAGAGTTGGCAATTTGGGGGGCCTGGACTAAGGCCTGTTTGCCCTATGCTGAGGTGAGCTACCAATGAATGGAGAAGTCTTGAGAACTGTAGCTCTTCAGTGGACCCCTCATGCCCATTATTTATTTCTATCAGAGGCTAGAAAATATGGTCTACTAGTGAAGTGAGAAGAGGGCTAGACCTCACTGTGAGGTGATTTGAGGCAGAGCAGGAAGTCCTGAGTCAATTGGCTTCAGAAGTACTAAAAAACTGCACGTTTGCATGTGTGTACACATATGTACCCACACACAGATCCCATAGAGTAAGTATATGTGTACAAGAGGGTGGGATTATTTAGGGGTGTGATACAGTTGATCTGGGGGGAGGCCTAGACATCAGTATCTTTATAAAGCTCCCCCAGATGATTCTGATGTGCAACTGAGACTAAGAACCAGCCCCAGCTCTCAGTAGTAGCTTCTTGTGCAATTGTCTCCCCATTTATTCCTCACATGAAAGGGAAATTCCGCAGCAACTGCATCTTACCTTCCTAAATTCAACTTTATAACATGTAAAAATTGCAAAAAAAAAAACCATTTACTTTCTTTAAAACTACTTTGAAGAATAGCAGAGGCATCATATTGTTAGATTAGTTATTTCCTACACTCTTTTCATGCCATCATTTTTATGCATATCATTACTGCTATAGAAATCTCAAATTAAATCAGTACTATCATAAAACACTTCATTTCCAATTAAGATGTTTATTTGAAAATGGTAATATAAATGAACTGCTTGTTCTACTTCTTGTGAATACAACATTGGTTCTTACATTCATCCTCACATCTGAATTTCTCTTTTCTGTAAAGGAAAAGCTAACAATTTCCAATTATGATATTTATAAGAGACCCCTTTCCCAGTTACTAAAGCAATTGATATTTGAATGTTAGTTCAAGTGTACTAGAATCAGTTCAATATACCAGAATTCATACTTTTTTGGACTTCATGTTTATAAAACTTCAATATTGTCCTATTTTAGAAGTGTACAGATGAGAAATATATTCTCCCAAATAAGATATATGAGGCAACATTATTACATATAACAACAAATTTCCTCAATCCTGTAAATAAATTGAGGAGAAAAACATTTGGATGAGCTTACAGGTTATGTAAAACCTAGCTTCATTTGTGCCAAGCATGTCTATGAAATGTCCAAATTCCTCATTGAAAGACTTATATTGTCAAGATACAATCCTAATAAAGTTATCATCTTTATGATGATGAAGTGAAGTGGTATTCGAATAGTGAATTGGTGTATTCAAAATAAGCCAGACAACACTTAATCACTTCCAAGTGGGTTACCTCAGCTGTACAAAGCTGCATGTCATGACATGGTTTTAAATATAAGAGATGTAATAAACATGATACTTACGAGTCTTTGGTTCACTCAGATTTTACCTGCCATGCAAAGGAGTTTGGGCTGATGCAATTTTCTAGTAATCCACAGTAATCAGAACATTTATTGTAGTTTTCTGTGGTGACTTGATATAAATTGAGAGATCAGCTCTGAGTAAACACATTTGATGTTTTCTTTGATGTATTCTTGAAGTTCCAGAATGAATCAACTAAAATAAACACTGTTCTGCAACCCAATGTGCTCTGGTGCAGGAACTCTCTCTGGGTGCTCTATTGTGGCTGAGTCTGTGCTTCTCTGCTGGTTTGCTGCCCTATGTCCACCTTCCCATCTCATCTTACCTTAATCGAGCCCGGTGGACCTGGGGAGACCAGACAACATTGCTAGGATTTTTGACACATTTTCTCAGGGAAGAATATGGAACATTCAACCTGGTAAATTTGTGTTTAAAGCCCTTTTTAAGGAAATAAGTGCAGTGCTCTGCTGGAGCCTTGATTGAAAAAAAGAAAAATTAGTATTCGTCAATGACCATAGATAGAATATTCGTTTCAGTTATTTATATAACAGACTCTTTCCCTTGAAATGTGACCTTTACCATGTTATCAAAAATCGGAATCTCTTAACATTGTACTGTTGTATATCTTGCGTATGCTATTCAGGATAGCAAGCATTAAAAAGAACCTACTGGCTCGGTGCTTGTAGCCAGCCACATACACCAAGGGTGGCGGGTTCAAACCCGATCTGGGCCTACTAAAACAACAATAATAACTGCAACAAAAAACAGCCAGGCATTGTGGCGGGCGCCTGTAGTCCCAGCTACTTGGGAGGCTGAGGCAAGAGAATTGCTTGAGCCTAAGAGTTCAAGGTGGTTGTGAGCTGTGATGCCATGACACTCTACTGAGGGTGACATAATGATTCTCTGTCTCAAAAAAAAAAAGAAAAAAAGAGTCTGCTACCTGCAGACTCAGCACTGAGTGTTACTGTGGGCACTCAAGTTGTAAAGAAAAATATTTGGAAAAGATGGAAGGAAAAGAACCTCAAGTTTATAAACTTACCTTAAGCAGACCATATGGAGAGAGAGAGAGAATGGTGTTCAGGTTAGTATTTAGTTTTAGAAATGTCTATAAATGCTTCATAAAATTTGAGTCCACTAATGGAAATAGTGGGCTCAAAGAAACTCAAAAGGCCTCACTCTCCCTAAGACATATTAAGAGAGGACATTAGATGTGGGTGCATTAAAGCTAACTGGAAAATGAAGGGATGAACAGATGAATTTTTCTTTCATGTTTATGCTTTTTGTGTCCTACTTAAGAAGGCAAGTCTTAGTCCATGGTGTGTGAGACCATTGATACAGAATTCTAAACCATGTGAAAACTAAACATCTATTGTTCACGCATACATTCAAAAGTAGCAAAACTATATACATATTTATAAAAAGTAGGGGAAGAATTAACACCAAATTCAGGATAGTAGTTACCCCTGGGGGATACTAGAGAGGCCTGCGAGGACTTTGTGAAATACTTCATGGAATATTTTATTTCTTAAATGAATAGTGGGTCTATAGATTTTATAAAAGCTCTTTATTCTTTAAATATATGTCATATATATATCTTTCACATGTAGGTGATATTTTGTGATAAAATAGATTAATGAAAGGATAACTATTAATTATTCTGACTTAGAGGGTTTGACACTTTAAATTTATACTCTGCTTTACTTACATTGGTTATTCCATAAAAATATTGTCTGAGGCCATTTTGTACTTGATATTTGTGTAAATTACACAGAATTGTGAAATTATAAACTAATAGGTTGCAATGAACTTTAATCCAAGGGCCCCAAAAGAGCTTAGAGTATAGAGTTTAGAGTTTAGTATAGAGGCCTTTTGAGCTTCTTTGAGCCCACTATTTCCATTAGTGAACTCAAATTTTATGAAGCATTTATAGACATTTCTAAAACTAAATACTAACCTGAACACCATTCTCTCTCTCTCTCCATATGGTCTGCTTAAGGTAAGTTTATAAACTTGAGGTTCTTTTCCTTCCATCTTTTCCAAATATTTTTCTTTACAACTCGAGTGCCCACAGTAACAGAATGTAAAAGGACTGTTAATTCATTAATGTGTTAATCATTCATGCTAGAATAGTTTAACGGATTTTTAGTCAATTATTTTCTAAGATTCCTCCTAAAGGATGTCCAAGTTAAAAAAATTTAATAGGCGTGCTTGCTTCAGCAGCACATATACTGAAACTTCAATAGGCTCCAAGCAATAAAGAGAGATACTGCATCATATATTTAAAACTTGTATCTTTTAAATCAAGATCATTAAAATAACAATAGCCTGACAAAACTTCAGTTTAATACTTATGCAAATAATTTTTTCCCTTTTTTGTTTAGGCCAAATCTGAAATAGGATCCAGTATGTCTAAATTATTGCTGTGAGTATGAAATATTTGAAACTATTTTTAAATGAATTATCTATTAGTTCTTTTAAATACTTTTAGGGTTTGTAAAGTATGTCTGAGAAGTAGTTTTCAGTCACAGTTAACAATTGTTTGTATATTCATTTGTTCCTTGGTATTCATTGGGGATGTGTTCCAGGACCTCCCAAAGGCACTAATCTGAAGGTGCTCAAATACCCGATATAAAATGAGGTAATATTTGCAGCTATCCTGTACACCTTCTTCCTGTCATCGCTTTATTACTTATAATACCTAATTAAGTATATAGATGCTGTGTAAATAGTTGTCAAACTGTATTGTTTAGGTATTAATGACAAGGAAAAATGTCTGTGTATGTTTAATATAGATGCAATTTTTTTCTGAGTATTTTTTTTTTTTTTTTTGAGACAGAGCCTCAAGCTTTCCCCCTGGGTAGAGTGCCATGGCATTACAGCTCACAGCAACCTCCAACTCCTGGGCTCAAGCGAGTCTCCTGCCTCTGCCTCCCAAGTAGCTGGGACCACAGGCGCCCGCCACAACGCCCGGCTATTTTTTGGTTGCAGCCGTCATTGTTGTTTGGCGGGTCCGGGCTGGGGATCCGAACCCGCCACCTTAGGTGTACGTGGCTGGCGCCTTAGCCGGTTGAGCTATAGGCGCCGAGCCTTTCTGAGTATTTTTGATCCAAGATTGGTTTACTCCACAGAGACAGAATCAGTGGATACAGAGTGCCAGATATTCTAGCATTTCCTTTAATAAGATAAAGCTTAAAGTGAGCAACAAATGCAACAGTGAATAAGAATATTAGGAAACTGCACAGCAGTGCTCCCTCACCTTTTTGGCACCAGAGATGGGTTTCATAGAAGACAGTTTTCCACTGACCAGGGTGAGGGGCAGTTTCTGGATTATTCAAGCACATTATATCCCACCTCAGATCATCAGACATCAATCAGATTCTCAGGAGCACACAGCCTAGATCCCTCAGATGCGCGGTTTAAGTAGGGAGCCTCTTCCTGTGACAATCTGATGCCACCTCTGCTCTGACAGGAGGCAGAGCTCAGGAGGTGATGCCCCCCAAAGGGGAGCAGCTGTAAACACAGGTGAAGCTCCACTAGCTTGCCTGCTGCTCACCCCCTGCTGTGTGGCCGGATTCCTAACAGGCTACAGAGAGTAGCAGTGGAAGCCTGAGGGTTGGGGACCACAGACATGGAGCAGTTATAAAGCTACAAGTCTTCTACTTTATATTGAACGCAAAATTACCCAGTGCAGTGTTACTTTATAAATAATTTGGTCTTTGTTATGGTTTTTATGTTGTCTTTCTTTTAGAGACATTATGTAACATTTTATTTAGCAGAATTTGAACAATTATTTTCTTATTATTTTATTCTTTAGTTCTTCAGATCTTGATGTATTTAATGTCACCTGTGGCTTCCTTTAGGCTGTCCTTGTCATGACTCTATTTTTGACTTATAGCTTAAAGTAAACATATTTTCATCTATATTATCCAATAGTGTTCTTTGAAAGATGTGTTAATATTTTCTTTAAAGCCTACTCAGATTAAGAAAACTTGAAAATTATCTGTATTAGGTGTAATATTCTCAATATAAAAATTTGGAAGAAAATAAATGTCGATTACACTAAAGTGGTCTACTAACTAATGATTAATTGCTAAGTCTTGGGGCTACTTGAAAAAATTATGGGGAGAATATTTCAACTACATATATGAGGCAGTTCAAGGCCTCTCTCCATTTCTTCCTTGTTTTCCATCTACCCTTCCTTTCTTTTTAAACACCATTTTTTCCTATACCAAAATTTTTTTCCTATACCAAATTTTTAGAGAAAATTTAGCAATAAAGGTAAGTAAAATAAGAAAATTAAAATTGCCTATAATTCCAGTGTACAGAGATAACCACAATTATTAATCTGTTAGCATTTTTGTGTATATCTTTTCAATATTTTTTATATTTTTGTTTTTAAAACTAGTATCATAATGTTCATATTGTTTTATTAGCCTGCTGCTTTTCACTTTACATTATATCTTGAAAACATTTCCCTGCATTCAATTATTTTTATGTAGACTTTTGGTGGTTTTCATAATTGATTTTAAGTAACTATTTTCATGTATGAGACTTTTGTGGCTCCTTTTCCTTCTTTGTGGGGGGAGGTAGCAAGAAGCTCAGTTTCCTTTTAAAGATACAGTCAGCCTTTTTCATGTCTCTGAGCTTTCATTTTATTCTGCTTTACTCCATGTGGAAGGACGCGCTGTACGCTCTGTACTCCCTACCTTCCAGAGGTTGTTATACCAGTAACAAGGATTTTGCCTTAACAAATCCCACACAAGCTCCAAAGAACTCTCAAGAGTAATCCATACATCTGACTTTTATTAGTTATATGTACAAGTCTGGGACTACTGGGACACTTAAAGGCTTCCTTTACATTAAAATAATAGCAGGTTGTATACTCAGAAAAAAAGGCTGACAGAAGTGATTACCACTCACACCCACACTGTTTGTTCAGTCCAAATCACCATGTAGAATGGAGGCGTAATCCTCGGAGTGAGAATTTCTAGTCTTTAATTGTTTCAGGTGGACAGTAGTGTTGAAAAGGGCAACTCATAATCAACTTATGAGAAAATCCTTCAGAATGATGGAAACTAATCATCTACCGTTTCTAGTCAAGCAAATTAAATTCTTTGCCCATGCACATCTCCAAGTTGCAACCCTGTACAAGGAAATTATTAAATGTAACCTTAGGCAGTGACAATCTTTTGGAGTTTACATTTAAGCAACAGATCTTGAAGAATTAATTTTGAGACCGACTTCATTCCTTTTGAAGAATGGTTTGAAATGGGCCTCATGCTGGAATCAATTTTTCAAGTATATTTGAAAATGAGTAAGGATATCTTCTCATGATAAATGCGTCCCCATTAATAAAATACACATTGTATGCTTTCCATAATTAGGGCATAATATTTTCTCCAGTAAAATTGCCAGTGGGGAGAAAAAAGTTCTTTGAGTGGTAGATAGAGTTGTTTCTTTTTTAAAAAATCAGAGACTGCTAGAGCAAAAGCTACTTTAGAACTCAGATAACCCCTGAAAAGACTTCTTAGTGAATGTGGGAATTTAGCTCAATTGTAGTGAAAAAAGAATACCTTTCTCTGAGATTGTTTATGTGCATTTCAAACCAAATAATATATTAATGGAAAGCAAGGAAGCCTTTTAAGGAAGATAACCCCAAAAAAGGAATAATTAGAGATCACCTCTGTTGACCTTTGTTTCTTTCATGATTAGATCTGCAGAAAACTACTAGAATTACTTTTGTATTCAATTGCTAAATCACTGGAGGCCATATCTACATTGCCAAAAGAAGAAAGTTAAAAAAATTCATTTCAGCCAACTTCTTAACGAACCAATCAGGGATATTATACAGTATACCTGTATCAAAAATATGAAATAGGTCAGGCAGGGTGGTTCACATCTATAATTCTAATACTTTGGGAGGCAGAGATGGGAGGATTACTTGAGGCCAGGAATGTGAGACCATCCTGAGCAAGAGTGAGTTTCCATCTTGCTAAAAAAAATCGAAAATTTAGCTGGGTGTGGTGGTGTGTACCTGTAGTCCCAGCTACTCAGGATGCTGAGGACTCACTTGAGTCTGGAAGTTTGAGGTTGCTGTGAACTCTAATAATGCCACAGCACTCTAGCCAGGGCAACAGAGTGAGACTCTATCTCAGTAAACAAACAAACAAATGAACAATTACTTGTTCTGATTTTATTCCAAATTGTATAAACTGGTAACCAAATGTTAACATTGGAAAACATCTTAGAAGTATATCTATACCGCTTTCTATGGTATAGATAGAAGAAGAAAAAAGTGGTAAATGATTTTGAAATCCCCTTTACAATTATTCAGTGTATAAAGATATTCTACAGAAAGTATTGTATTTAGAATTAACCTAGTTTGTTTTCTGCCAACAATAAGTTAGGTTGTTTTTTACAGTTCTCAAGTGATGAATATGAGGACTGAGCTCTCATTCAACATCCAAGCCCTTGCAATTTGGGCAAATATATGTTTGGCAAGAAAGTAAGTAATTTCATTTCTTTTCTTGCTGTTTTCCTGTGTTTCTACAGTTCAGTGAACTGAACTAATATTTTCAATATGTTAGGGTAGAATGTTGCCAGTATTATTTTATACTCTAAATAAATGACTCTCCTGACTACTTATATTAAGATATATATTGCTTTCTTACTAGCTTTTCTTTTTTTATTAAAAATCAATGATTTCAAAAAACTGAGCAGTATATTAGTCTGGACATCTAGATGTCCAGACTTCAAGTTTGGTCGTTTTGCCCATAACCCATTATTATTGTTGATTTGAAAAAGGAACAATTATTCAAATTCTTTTGATGGTAAAAGAAAGACTAAAAATATATAGCTCTATTTACCTCCATTAATTTTTTATTCATTTCCTATCTAGTGTATTGAATGTATGTGTTTATATGTAAGGGTATATTTGTATATGCATCTACAGTTTTCTTTGCTTAACATTTAAACATAATATTGTGACAATCTTCCCATACCATAAAAATACTTAAACATCATTTAAATGTCTGTGTAATAGTCTAACCTGTAGTAGGTAACAGGAGAATTAATTTAAATGTTCTTCTATTTAAGGATCTTTAATTGCTTCCACTTTTCCACTATTATTAGTGGAAAATCATTCTTATGAATTCCTTTTTGTCCACCTTTCTGATTATTGCTTAAGATTTATCCTAGCACTCTGGGAGACTTAGGCAGTTGGATTGCCTGAGCAAGAGTGAGACCTGGTCTCTAAAAATAGCCGGGCATTGTGACGAGCCCCTGTAGTCCCAGCTACTTGGGAGGCTGAGACTGGAGAATCACTTGAGCCCAAGAATTTACGATTGCTGCAAGGCATGACACCACAGCACTCTCCCGGGACAACAAAGTGAGACTTTGTCTCAAAAACAAAACAAAAAAAAAATTTATGCCTACATGTCAAATAACTGAGTCAACGATTGTGAATATTTTTAAGGCTCTTGATGTAGATATTATCAAATTAATTTTTCTGAAAAAAATTACTATTATTAATTTTAATAGTAGTAATTTTAATTACTATTAATTTAATAGAAAAAATTAATTTTTTCTTTATCATTAATAAAAATTAATACAAATTATAATTATATAATACATATTTATAAATTATAAATAATATACAATTATATATTAATAAAATTTAATTTTTCTTTATTATTTTTAATTGAATAAAATTTAATTAGTAAAGTAATTAAATATAATTAATTAATTTAAATTTTATAATAATTTTAAAAATTAATTCAATTAAATAATTTAACTAATTAATAAAATTAATTGTTAATAAAATTTAATTTTTTCCTTATTAATTTTAATAGTAGTAATTTTAATTACTAATTACTTTAATTTTAATTTTTAATTACTAAATTACTTTAACTTTTTAACTAAAAATTAATTACTATTAATTTTAATAGTAATTTTAATTACTATTATTAATTTAATAGAAAAAAGTAATTACTATTATTTATGCCATACTATTGCTTTTATACCAACATTGAGATTTGCCATGTTTAAATCTTTATTACTTCAAGCATAAAAATATTTTGATTTTACATGTTTGATTACTTTTTAAATTTAATAAGATTAATAGTTTGTATTCTGTGAATTTTAACTTCATATCCTTTATTGCATAGTTCCAAATTAATTTTTCTACTATATGTATTTCTAGTTTATTACTACATTTCAGTTATGTGTTTTAACCCACATTTTAAGGACTGAGATCTTTCTTTGTTCCCAGTTTAAAATGGAAAGTTTTATAGATCCAAATATTTTTCCTATGTTTTAATGCTATACAAACTTGTCATTGATATTCATGTATATGAATAATTTTGGACATTTTTTTTATTTGTAGAAACAAACAGAATCCATCATTGATATGGCTTTTTACTGGAATGTTTTGCATTTATTCATTGTTCTTTGCTTGGAGGGCAAATTTAGATATTTCGAACCCACTTTTCATGGGTGTGGTAAGTTTCATTTAGATATATCCTTTGACCAGAAAGTTTGCAAAGAATGTATAAACTTGTTCTTCTTAAATCTCATAAAAGAGAAAATTATTTCAGAAATAGTTAAAATTATATGTACATTTTTAAAATCAAAAGTTAAATTATTGAGCCGATATAGCTAAGGCCTCTTTTTGGACAAAACCAAACCAAAATGTTTAGTAACACGGTAGTTATCTAGAGAAACAAAAGTGAAGTAGATTTCAGTTAGTCGTGTGTGTGTGTGTGTGTGTGTGTGTGTGTGTATGTGTTTGCAAGTGTAGGTATAACTGTATTTCTCCTGGAAGCCTTTTAAAAATAGCAAAAGCAGGGCAGCGCCTGTGGCTCAGTGAGTAGGGCACCAGCCCCATATACCGAGGGTGGCGGGTTCGAACCTGGCCCCGGCCAAACTGCAACAAAAAAATAGCCAGGTGTTGTGGCGGGCACCTGTATTCCCAGCTACTCGTTAGGCTGAGGTAAAAGAATTGCCTAAGCCCAAGACCTGGAGGTTGCTGTGAGCTGTGACGCCACAGCACTCTACCAAGGGCGACAAAATGAGACTGTCTCTAAAGAAAAAAATATATATTCAAAAGCAGTATGGGTTGTAAGTGGGGTGTTTTACTAACATATTCCCTTATTTCTCACCTCACCATTTCCAGGGCTGTGCAAAAGAGCAACTGTGTGCCTCTTTTACCCTAGCAGCCACCTCTGAGATTAGGATATTTCTCATTATAACAGAAACTATAACCGTGGATAGCTCTTTTCTGACAGCTGAAACCAGCTTGGTCTGTGTGTGTGTCTGTGTGTGTTCAAGAAGCCTAATAATAATACCCTAGTTGATCACCTGAGTGCTAAATCAGTTGAGAAGCAAGATCAACTAGTAAGACTGGGAGAATTGCCTTTATTACTGATGGCCCTGAGATTGGAGAACGTGGCTTCCATCTGCAGACAAGGGGGCTTTCTCATATGTTTCCCAGAGTGGACAGACTTACCCGCCAGTCAGACACTGCTGCATAGGGGAAGCCTCTGTCCTTTTACCCCTCCAGAGTCTATCACTGGTGCCACAGGGACAGAATCTACCACTGGACAAGTGCTTCCTGTGGGCAGCTCACTTCCAAGAGAAAGGGAGGGCCTTGCAGCGTTTCCTTGCCTACTCCACCCCATGTATTGCTGGAGTTGAAGACCAAGACCACACTATTGGAATGAGGGTGTGGATCTAAGGGAGATGCACGTGTCAAACTGGGAAAGAGGAATGTTTGAAAATTGGGAAATAAAGTGGCCTGTGCTTGAACTGGCGGAGTCAGTTTATAAGACCTGAATGACAGCAGCCCCAGCCTTTAGCTCTGCAGTATATTTTTAAATCTGTAAATACCTCTTCAGTTGCATTCAGTAGCCAACTGGACGTGCTTTTCACATGCCTCTTTCATAGGTGGAACGGTTCTGGATGCAGAGCAATGCTGTGGTGGCCGTCCTGGCTGGCGTGGGTTTGGCAGCACTTGTGTCTGAGAGCGGCCGAGTGCTGAACAGCAGTGCACTGCCGTGTTTGGAGTGGCTCTCAGCAGCCCTGTTTGTGGCTCACCAAATATATTCTAATTACAGGTAACATATGGCCATTTTTATGAAAAGTACCATTCAAGCCAGAGATGCCAGGATGTTTAGATTCTAGAACTTTATTTACTTTTAACTTCCACTGATGTGCAAGACTGAAAGTGACAGTGCTTGGTTGAATGCAGTAGTGCTAGAATCTAAGCATGGTGCTGTGTGCTTTCAGGACACCGCAAACAAGGGCTTGGGTCGTCTGTGTAGACCAGCAGTCCCCAACCTTTTTGGCACCAGGGACCGGTTTCACAGATGTTTTTTCACGGGGTGGGGGTGGGGTTAGATTCTTGTGAGGAGGTGCAGCCTAGATCCCTCCCATGTGCAGTTTACACCAGCGCTCACACTCCCATAGGAATCTAACCCCACCACTGATCTGACAGGAGGCAGAGCTCAGGTCAGGATGCCTGCGATGGGGAGCAGCTATAAACACAGGTGATGCTTCACTGGCTTGAGGCTAACTTGTTCATGTGGCTCACACCTTCATGCTTCAAAGATTTTATCTTTTGCATAATACCTGGTCTTTACCCAGTTTACCCTATAGTTAGGAATATTACTTTTAAATTAAGTTCTAAAAGTGTCTTTTATAGATTATTAGAATTACATGTATTTTTCAGAATCTTTTTAACAAGCACTATAATGAAAATCTCAGTCTAACATATTTGTCTCCAGCAATATCAAGTGTCAAGTACATGTTGCAGAATTGGAGGGGAGGGTCCCATAGAATCTCAGTGGTGAGATTTGATTGGCCTTGTTTTGAAAGATTGAATTCCTTCTTTCAATTTAACTTTAACAACCGACGTTCTTCATAATGCTGCAGTAGAGCCCAGCCGTCAGGAGCCTTGTGAGAAGGCTGCATGTTGCAGACACAGCTCCACCACTACACTATAGGAGGCCCACCCAGCCCACGGCATGCTCCCCAGGCCGTTTTTATCCTTCCTGACTTAATAGGACAGTGTGGGTTCCACACCAGGCATGCTTACATAGGCTGGGTGGTTTTATCTTATTTGTGTCTTTTTATTTGCTCCAGGGGAATAGAATAGATAACAACTTTACTGGGTGGTAAAAGGTGAGTCCTCACTCTGGAAAACGGAATGGCAGTAGGAAATGGTAATTGTTGGCTGTATTGATTACAAAGGCAGGGATGATACTACATTCCTAGAAGTGTTTGCTTTGTGATAGCAGCTCAGTGTTCCAGCTTCAGTGTTCCTCAGCTCCATCAAGTGGAATGTGCCTGAAATTAGTAAGGAAGGATGTTGCTTGTCTCATTTTTTGATTCTTTTATTCTCATGTAGTCTTTTTCTTTTTTCATGGGAGCTCTCAGAATTCTTGCCCGTTTTGTTTTGTAGTTTGGAAGTTAGAAAGTCCACTTCATTCTTGAAAAGAGCTGTACTGCCATTGTTGGCAATAGCAGCTAATGCCTGGAGAGGGGTGAACAATGTACCAAACCCTTCCATCCCCTCCCTTCTCATTGGCCTCATTCCCTGGCTATTTCGTTGTCTCCAAAGGGCGAGAGGAGCACAGGAGGCCTGTGGTTCAGGGGGGTGGTGGGAACCTCTGCATGCAAGAAAGTCATACAACTGTCATAGAAATTTATGTCAAGAATGTGCAGATTTCCTTTAGCATTTTTGAAGATTCCTTTGAATTTACATAAAATTACTTTAAGTTCCAGGTGGAATCAGAAAACCTTGGTTTTTAAAAATAAAATTGGATTGGGATAAAAGGACTTAGTCTTGAGTACTAAATGATTACCTTTTTATGAAAATGATTGTAAGTTCCAGAGGTGAGCAGCAGGGTAGGTTTTTGTTCAGCTGCATTCTTGTTATCAGATGACTTTTCTCTTTTCAAATACACTCATCCTTTAGAAAACTCTGGAAACTGAATGCTGATTGAATGATGAGAAAGGAACAGTGTAGAAGACAAACCCTGTCCTGTTAAAACTGCAGCAAAGTGTGGGTATTCTAATAATTCTTTTTATCCTTTCATTCAGCATTTGTGACCAAAGGACCAACTTTGTGATCGATAAATTTGCAAAGAACCTTATAGCCTCTGTGCCTCGCGATGCAGTCATTTTACTCAGAGGAGATTTGCCTGGGAATTCTCTCCGGTACATGCATTACTGCGAGGGGTTGAGGCCAGACATTTCACTAGTGGATCAGGAGGTAAGTACCTCTATCTGAAAAATATACTTAAAATGCAGCAATTATTTTGAAACATATTTTTCAAAAAACTGTTTTTTTTAAAATAGTAGATGGGTCCAGTTTTCACTATCACTCCTGGATAGAACATATATCCTATTCTTCTGTTTGTTGTTTTTTTTTTTTTAATTTTATTTATTTTTTTATTATTAGATCATAATTGTGTACATTAATTCTATCATAGGATACAGCGTGTTGCTTCCATATGCAGTTTGGAAAACTCTCATCCAACTGGCTAACATAGCCATCATGTCTTTCTCATAATTGTTGTGTTAAGACATTTATATTCGGGGGGATTCTGGGAAGATGGCCGACTGGT